CACCTAGATAAAAATGTGATCGAATCTCCTAAATTGTTCTGTCTTATGTATTAGGTATTAGCGTTAACAATAGATAACAAATCACTGATAAATTATAATTAAAATTATTTTACGCCAAATATATATATAATATAATTAAACTATCCCTGTATACTATTACCCCCAAGAAAGATCCGGTTCTCACATAAAGGGTACCCACCTAGTCAAAGAAAAAAGAGAGAAAAGGAAAATCTGCGTCCTTTATGTAATATTTATATACGCCCGCTATTCCATAGCACTCTTTATTAGAAACGTATGATCCAATGGGTTAACTTATGACACTACTGTAATAAGTTCGGATACAACGATAATAGCTGTTAGAATGAAATAAGCAGTTTCATTATTGTTTGTTTGTTTATATTAATAATGCTTTTGTATATTAAATGAATTCTCCTTATATCTAATAGTTTTAAAGAAATTATTTTCATGTGTGTTTAAAAAGCCTTCATTTACTTTAAAGTGCTCAGCTTTTGTTCTAAAGTGGTTGGTTTGCTGTTTCCCGTCCCGGTAGATATACCGTTGGTCGGTTTAATAAATTGAGTAACATTAGTTAACATAAATAGTTTCTTATTAACAGTAACAATAATGAAATTGGGTGAGCCGGCTTAATTTTGTTTGTGGACTCGGAATACGTATCGTTAATAACTTGAACGGCACATTAGCTACAGTAAAATGGTCAAATGTTGTCTATGTTAAAACTTTGTTTGTCCATAAGGCTTAATTTTAGATTACAATAGTTGTGTGAACGTTTAAAAAAGACAGTTCTAACCTTTCCATGGAGGAGGATTGTTTGTTGTGTTGAACAAATGAGATGCGTGGTGCCCCTTAAGTAGGTCAATTTATTAGATATCAAAGGTGTAGGACTGTTCTCTTTAACTAAGTGACCCAATTAAGCTACTCACTTCAATCAAATAATTGGTAGTTTTTCCTTTGGCAGGGGGAGCATAACTAAATCTTTAGAATTAGGAGAATCATATTAGTAGGCCCTAGTTCATGTTTCTTAGGAGTGCTCGAGATTTTGGTTGATAGCGTAGGTGAAGACAAGGTTTCCTCCTTTTAGGAGGCACTTATTATTAAGGTAGCAATCAGCCCCGTAGTAGGTACCCAAAGGGATAAAAAGTAGAGTCATTACTCCTCAGAGCTAAGCATGAAACAGTGGCAGAAATGATTAATTAAGATAGTAGAAAATGCAGACCAACAGATTTGAGGACTGTAAGACATAGATAGGGGGTAGTTCTTAAATTACCCTACCAGTCGATCACTTATAAGTTTTAATTACCCAATAAAAGCCCCAACCACTCAGATAGAGAAAATTGGCTTTTATAACTTTTAGTAAGGCCCGCAATAACGTCGCTCTGCTGCTTTTGCTCGTTCCTCTGGCTAGTAAATTTAGTAAACTTTTTATGGTAACTCCATAACAAGCTAAACCAGTGTAAAAGGACTTCGGAATTCAGGCTTATTTGACTGCCTTACTAAATTATGATAGAGCTGTTTTACTATTGGTAATCTTACCTAGAGTCTATCTTCATCTACGAGGCAAGTTTCCCACCAAAAAAGTCATGACGCGGTTCGATAATTGCTTGTATAATTTTGTTTAAGATGACTCGATTAAAATGATATAATAATAAACTCTTAGATTAGTGGGTAATTTTTCAGGTACCAAATAGAAACCTTGTTATTATTCTCAAGTGCATTGATCTTATCAAAATCGGTACTTGACTTATATTCCACTTTAATTATAAATTGAGTTAACCCGCAAGGACCCTTTGGTGTACAGCAGATTATTTTTTATTAAAAGCCCCCAATAAGTAGTCCTTCACTACCTTCTCCAAATTTTGAACTCTGATTATGAGGCTCTATGAACGAGTTAAGTTTTTTCCTTTAACACTCAAGCGAGTTACCCAGTTAGGAAGTAGAATAATACCTTTTAACAAGCCTTGAGACTTCGTTTCTCTTTCTTTTGTCATTACCAGCTCTGCTTTGCTAGACTATGTAATAACTAAAAGACTGCACAGATGCATCTATAACGTACGGTCATAACAACTTATCCATTATCGTGGGTTGCCGAGCAAATAATTAGGCTAACTAACTGGTGTAAGCTGTAACAGATAAAATAAAAAAAGTACTGAGTTCAATGAGCAAAATGAAATGCTTGGTGGCAGGATATTTTTTTAATTAACCTAAGATTATTAAAGTAGCAATGAAACTCCAGAAGCTGTGTCCATGTAGTGATTTAGTCTAGATGGACTATGGCTTAGGGAATCTCGAGAAGTAATTAATAATACTAGTAAAGCGCTAACCATGGTCACCCTTTCCCCAAATTTTTTCGGCATCACTCTAAAAATTGCATAATTGGGAGAAAGTAAAACTAAAAACAATACGAGAGGAAGTTACTAAAGGCTCAGCGCAGAGATAATATTATCAGGATGACTTCAGTAATCCGGCTCGCAGAACAAGAGGTAGCTAATCAAGATTCGCAGGATCAACCAATACTCGGTGTCTTTCGACCACATGTAAGGGGAGACTCATTTTCATGAAAAAAATTGTGTACCAAAGTTAAACTTGCTGTAAGAGAGCTAACAAGTAATGGAAGTCAAAAAACCTTTAAAGAGTTGGACTGCTAACACTTAAGCCCCCTCAGATTCTACTTTTTAATTCAGTCCTAATCACGGGTGTAGTATTAAGAAGGTTCGCGTAACGACAACGACCCAACTGGCAGCGTATAATCAAGAAAAGCAGTAGTCATTAATATAGAAATATTATAAAACCTAAAAGCCTAATATAAACCTCTTCCTACACAAGTAAGTTAAAGTTGAAAACAGGGGAGCGGTTAATGAGTGTGCGTACCTGAATACCTAACCATAAAAGACGTCTCCCTTTATATGACCGATAGTACTAAAAGCTAATTCTGTATCACCTACATATCTTTCTGCTAGAAATATACCAGTAGTTATGTGAACAACTAAGAATAAAGCCAAGGGAGACCCAATACCACGAGAATAACGTAGATTAGCAGGAACAGCTAAATTCAATAATAACTTTATAAAGATCAATACTTTCATTTCAAGATTAGTAGAGATTAAACCAACGAATTTAAATTTGGGGCTTAAGGTTTAACTCTAAAACTTTAATTTTCCAAATGGAACGAACAATAAAAAGACAAAAAGTAGTCAGGTTTTACATTCGCGTCGGCCTCGTTCGACATGCAAAGAGTAGTAAAGGCCGCCCGCCTTTGGGAAGATTTAATTGAAAGTTTTCCCAAAGGGGCTGATAGGGGCAAACATACCTACTTTTTTTTCGTACTATAATAATTTAGTAGAGCACTTTAATTAGCTAGGATTTCTAGACTGTTAGTAATTAATCTTATTGGTTAGGGAGAAAGAGTCTTATCCCCTCCCAAGATGAAACAACAGATTTTAAACCTGTAGAAACTGGTGACCTATAACTAGGGAGTAATCTTTTTTTTTCCCACTTTTACCGTGTTAGAATGTATACTTTGTAACCGCCTTGTAGTAATCTATTGGTTGGTGTAGACCAGTGACGATTAGATTCGAATTGAAGGATTACCAACATCTCTGAATTTACCGCTCTGTGCTCTCGGCTTTAGTGGATGGCATTTCACAGCTGCCAAGTTGCTTACTACTGACTTACTGCTTTAGATAAGAACTAATATGTACATAATTGAGAGGTACTTAGTATTGGTGTAAGAAACGTATATAACTAATGGATTTGAAAGGATGATCTATAATGATCTGATCCAAGCAGATGCCGTGGACCTTTATAGAGGCTTACCTGACTCAAGAGGGAACTAAAATAGGTAAAAGTACTGTGAAGTATACACGAAAGAGACCCTAAGGGAGTGAAGTAGATTATGTAACCGACTGTTGTTAGCAGTAGCATCTTGCATCTTATCCCGCGTTTCAAAGATAGTGCTGTAGGTTTTAGCTAACATTTATAGACTTTGGTAAAAGAAAGTGCTTTATTGGTAGGCATACTTTAACTTCGGCTAGTTACCCGACTACCGGGTTAGGGTGTCAGTTTTAACTAACTTCAACTTTTACCTTTGGCATCCTTAATTATCATCAGGCCAGCTTAGTTTTCTAGTTAACATTTCAAACTTACTACAGGTTGTCTCTAACGATTGACATCGTTTACCTTCTTAATTAGTGATTTAAGTTATCTAGGTAATTCATAACTGTTTTATAGGCTTTTTATTTTCTAGCTTTTTTATAAAGCTATTACAGCAATGTATATTAGAAAAACTTATTTCCTTCGTTTGCATAAACATTCTCTCACTCACCCATTAGAAAATTATAAACAGTTTACCATTTTCAGAGCTTAAATTTAATGTAAAACTTTGATTCTTAAGGGAAGCATTTATTAGATATAGGGGTTAAAAGTGGGAAAATAATCCGGAAAGGCGGTACATTATAACTAAACAGTAATATATTATATAATTGAGCAGGATTAAAAAGTCTATGCAATAGAAGTTATAATCTGAAGACAAAAGTTGTGGTTAATAACATTTAACTCAATTTCTAGAGAAATATGAAAGAAAAGCCAGCTTTAAAAAAATATAAACATTCGTTTGTTACTTGTTACCTTTAAGAGGCTGATAGTAGGGTTTCATAGTTTGGTAAATAATCTTTGTCCTACTAAATTGGGCATCTATATTTGGTGCTTTTTTGGAGTGCTAAGAAGACTACCTGCTTCTAATTTTTGGGCAAAATTGTTAAATGCAAAGGTGAAAGATAGTGCTAGACTTAGCGTTTTCTTTGAACAGTAAAAAACTATACTTTTAATTGTAGTTTTTGTTAAGTACTGTTGTAGTTAATAAAAGATTATAAAAAAAATTTTTTAAATGGTTTGTACAAACATAATCGCAGAAGCTTCTAAAGATGGTAGTAGCGTTACTTTATAAGGTGTATTGAGGATACATTTCATTTTCTAGCCTGTTTAAAAAATACATAAAGCGGGAGAGTGAGAAGAAGAGTAAGATAAGGGCTTGAAGCTTTAACACGGAACTTGCTTCGCAGAGCACTACCGTCGGTTTCGGGGTATAGCCTTTTTTAAGAATACAAGAAGCCAAAAGAACTTTTAGAAGGTATTTTTATTTTCGAATTAGATCCCTCATAGCTACTATAAAATAAAGTTAGTGACATTTGTCTCAAACTAACTAAAAGTTATAACAATATATCAATAAAACTATGAGAAACATGTAACTTTAAAATGTACTTCGCATAATAAAATCCAAGCTATTAATTCTGTTATAGTAAAATTTATTTTTGTGACTGTGAAAGAATTTTTTTTTTTTAGTTCTTAAATACTTTAATATTTTTTTAATATATACTAGAAGGTTTTTTTATTATATATTTTACTCCTATTGAGGTTTTTAAAAGAAATTATATACAAATTGCGGCGAGAAAAACCTTTCTTTGATTATAGCACTTGGCTTCTCTTTTCGGCCGTTGTTATAAAACTGTCCTATAAACTCCTTGGTAGGTTTTTTACCTATAAACATTCTTTAATAAGTAATAGACCAATAAGTTATTTAAGAATAATATATGTAGTCTTTTTAGAAACCATGTAAAGTTTAGATGATTTTTCGGATTTGATGTTTAGTTCGGCGACTCTTATCTGCGACAAGCAGGTCAGTAGACCTTCTATTTCAAATAATAAGGAGTTGCGAATTATATTAAGCTGGTAAAAAGTGTTTCTACTCTACTTCGATTTAATATTGTATATTTATAAACTCTTCTTTTGCATTTAAAACTTAAAGTACCTACAAAGCGTGTAGTTCCCTCTGGCAACTTAATTTTTATCTTTCTCTTGACTTTAAAACGAGTTTACTTCTAAAGATGTTGAAAAATTTTAATTTATTGATTTCTTTTTCTAAAAAAACTAGCAAGTGTTTGTGTAATACTCTCAAGGCTTTTCGTTAAAAAAAAACATTAACAAAGCAACTGGTTAAGTAATTAAAGATGTTTATTTCTCCCCAATAAGTCATAAGAACACATTGAATCTGTTATAGCCGAATTTAGGTCCAGAACTTGATCCACCAAATCGTTAGGAAACCAAGGGGCTGGCCTATAATTGTAATTGTCGCCGATATTACTTATATTCCGGTAATCCATTGGTGAAAAAGGTAATGTAGTGTTTAAAAGTGAGCTTTCATTGGTAGTTCTATAGTAAATTGAAATTGAATTGCTTAGAAACTTTATTATTCCAAAAAAGGAAATTAGATGATTTGTAAACAAAAACTACCGGAACGCTGGAAGCTCGGGGAAATTCAAATCATTACTGAAAAAGATAGTCAATTCTTGAGGTTTGGCGACTCCTGCTTGAGTGGTCTTTAAATTTTTATACCCTTTCGGCTCAAATGAGCGAAAGCAATAGAGAGTCCCACTCGCAGTCCCGCTTTGTCTCAGTCTTTTCTTTTGTAATGCCCTCTGATTCTGGAACCAGATCTCTACTACTCGAGGCGGCAAGTTAATTACCTCTGCCAAGGCATTCCTCATTTTTTTGTCTGGCATATGGTTTTCATTATAAGCCTCTACGAGAGCAACTGTGGGGAGCAACATGGACAAGTTAGAACAGCTCGATGAATATCTTATGATAACTTACCCAACTGTTTATTAGCTATTTTGGTTCTTCTGCGAGCTTTGACATTAAAAGTTTTTTCAATGTTGTTTTCTACGTTCTGTAAAAGAGTATTTGAAGATAATAGACCTTTCATTCTAACCGCATTCATGCTCTTCCCCTGTTCATTCCACTTATATATTTTTTTGCATTTTTATAACTCTTTTTTCGGAATGTATGAAAACCAAATGGGTCAATTCCTTACGGTTAAAGTGGGGATGCGCGTTTCTTTATAAAGTATTATAAAAAATAATCAGATTTTTTCGTGGATAATATTTGGAAAGACTATTCAGTGGTAAGAGTTATTATCTATAAAAAAGGTTATTGTGCACCTGTTTATGTATATTACTTACCCTTTTTGTTTTATGTAGAAAAAAAAGTTTTTATATTCTAAACATGGCTATAAATTTTTTTGGGTTGCCTTTTTGTTATAGGTCCTAAAAGTTAGTGTATTAAACATGCTTGGAACAAAAATGAGTTGGATTATGGAAGTCATACATTTAATGAAAAAAATCTCATGCAAAAGTGAAATGCAAATTTTTGATGCGGAATTTTTAAAGTAAGAAATAATGGTATCTCTAGAGGTGGCAGTTGACACACCCAACTAACGGTTGGAATCCGGATTGCATCTTAAAAGCCTTGTGAATTTTGGCCAACTCGAAACTTTCTTAAGTCGTAAGTGATGCTCTTAGCTAGTCTTTTAAACTTAGTATTCTTCTACATCTTCTTACATTATCGTGAAAATTAAGGGTATTTCTTTTTCAGAAATTAAGTTGCCCCTTGGTAAAATAAGTTCACTGTGAAGTAACACTCATTGTTAATATGGTTTTCACACCTATTATATACTAAGAACGTTGTCACCAAAGCAGAATATTATTAATTATCTGTATTAATTACTTGGAATCGATCATAACCTCCTAAAGTAAATTAAGAAAAATCATTTGGTTTGTATTGGATTCCTCTTGAGCAAATTTTTATTTTTGTAGAATTTTCGAATTTTTTCCGTGTTTGAGACGGTTAAAAGCGCCAAAACCTATTTAAGATCATTACCAGAAATAAAAGATTTGTTTATACCTGCGTCTCCGTTTCTCTCTCTTTTACTAGAGATTGCGTTTAATAAACTTTTACAAGAAAGCTTTTACTTCTGCCATCAGCAACATTTGGCTTCCGCTTTGCACCCTCCTTTTTTTGTAGTGGACTGCTTTTTAGTATTAAGGGATGGGAAGAAGAAGAAGAAAGGGACTGTGTTGTCTTCCCTAGGACCTTTTTTTAGTAAAAAAGCACTTGCGACTGAAATCATTACCTTATTTAAATGGAGACCTATCAATAGATAGGCAATTTCTTGAGGGCACTGTAAAGCGTCTATGGTTTTGTTAACTTGCTTATAAAAAATAAGACTCTTCATCTTTTTTGCAATTGGATTTTGTGAATGTTACAAGACTACTGTTCGATATGGGAGTTAAAGGAATTCTCACTCTTGTCCAGGAGTTACAATTTTTTTTATAGAATTGATAAAAAAAAGTCTGTATTTTTCGGATAATTTTGTAGTTTTCAGCCTATCTGACTTGGTTTAATTAGTCGTTTAAAGATCATTAAATTTTTTAACAACGTTTTACTTAAGCCTTCTTCGATAAAGGTGGGCCTATTGAACTCTTTTCGATACTCTACTATCTATACTTTTTTTTAAACTTGTAAATAGAACTTGACACTCTATGTACTGCCAACTGAAATTTCTTGATTTTTATTCTGCAATTATATAGTTTTTTGTTTACACGAATTAAAAATGTTATAAGATATATGTTTAAAGCGATAACGTGAGTTCAATGGACGCATAGTGCCATATTCACATTTTACGTGTTAACACATGGTGTATCTGGCGCAGAATTCAGCTGATATTTATGGTACGACTGTATTGTTACGTCTTCAGTATTAGTAAATCACTGTTTTATAAGTTAACTTACAGCTGGCATAAAATTAGTTAGATAAAGATATGGATGAAATTTTGATAACCTAGGTGACGACGAGACCACAGTCCTGACAGTATGGAAGAAAAATTCTGAACAATCTGATTATGAGCCAGAAACATTAGATATGTTAGAAGAGGTAATTGCTTTTCAAGTTTGAAGAGGATGATTTAAATTTAGGTACAATAATGAAGCTAAAAAATGGAACTACATGGTCTTTAAAGCACCTCCACAAACAAAAACCCAGTCACGTAAAATTTTAAAAGTTGTGTAAGATACTGTTGTTCTTCCACTTGGAAGGATAATGATTATACTAAATAAAATTGTTTATTTATTTTTAACTTGCTTTACCAACCCAAGTTTTTGCGGTTTCAGTCTCCACAATTTTAAATGGCGGGAATCTTGCGATATTGTAGAACTTAAGCATTTTTTAATTACTTACTGCAGGAAATCTAAAACTTATAATTACACAAGTTACGAAATTTTGTTGGGACCTTATATACGGTTTTCCTTATTTTTAAAACTACAATGGGGCTCTTCGTTTTAAAATCTTTTAATGTTTTTAGCCCCGGAAAAAAGATAAGTTAGCTCTGATGCGTAGTTTGTGGGATTAGATGGTATGCAATTCCAAGAGTATTCGTTCTTGGTAGTAACTTAATTGTAGACGAGCAGTTAGCACCTTTTCGTGTAGATGACCGTTCAGACAATACTGGCTGATAAGTTAAAGAAGTTTGGCATGTAAATATGGTGGCTACTCCATTTTGAAAATTTTTATCAACAATGGTTTTTCACATGCAGGAAAAGAGCGAGGGAACATGGAGAAGCTGCTAGCGTGGTTTCAAGACTTATAGGAACATATTATCATACCAATTGCAATGTAACTTGTGATATTTATATAACTAAAATTGAGTTAGCTTAGCGGTTATTAAGAAAAGTACTAACACTGGTTTGAAGAAAATGTTATAAGTGCTAGATTTTTCTTCCCTATAAAGGTAGAAAAGAAAATTCTTCTATTTTTGGTTTGAAGTCATATTAATTTCCAACGTGCCTATAAAGAGGAAAGCTGTAACACTTTTTTCAACCAAAATAAATCAGAATTCTACTAGATGATAATGCAACTAAAGGTATTATAACCAAAATAAAGATTATAACACCCTTTGGAAATAATAGCGTGAAAGTGGCAGCGAGAAGAGTAATAGAAGTTCAGAAACTTGATAAAAATAATAAAGCAAACTAAAACTTAAAAAGAGCAATTTTATTAAATTAAAACTATAAGAACAAATAGGAAACAAAGAGTTAAGCAGAAAAGTCAAGAACAACAGTAATAAAGCGTTTCATTATAGAGTATAAAAAATCCCCCGTCACTCATCCGAGAACAAAGGCGCTCATACCTGTAAATTAGTTACTAAGTATAGACCCTTTAGGCCTATAACATTATCCCCTCCTTACTGCGACTTCGTCTCGAAGTTGAAAACGTATTAAGTTAACCAGCTATCTTATAAGCCCATCTCTTTGGGTTATTATTTTTCATTGCAGAAGAATTATGCCAAAAAAACAAATGTCATAATCATGAAGTAAGTCTACACGTTAATAACAGTATAGGATGGCTTATCCTCACAATTCGTAGTTTTTGTAAATCCCTAGGACTCTCACAAAGTAATTTAATTATTTCCTCATTCATCCAAGAAGAAAATGTCGCTCACCATTTTGATAGTTGCATTCCATGAGATACTGACGACGATTATGATAATATCTCGTATCCAAAATTTTAAAACAGAAGTTTCAGCTATCTAGTCGACAATGTTATGTTGGTTTAATTCGCTAGGAGGTACCATTGAGGAAATACTAATGTGGAACGCATGGAGATGGATTTGAGGGGACAAGTCTAGCTGAAATGCCACAGGATTTATTTGCTTAAAAACATTAAACGGAGTCAGAAATTTGTGATTTAGTTTACAACAAGGTCTTAGATCTTAAAATTGGGGCGATTAAGTATTACCAAGTTTCCTCTGTAATTTTCTGTGCCTTTATATAATTAAAGCATAGGTCATCAT